AATCACATATATCAGATGATTTGGGATGGTTAACTAAAAAAAAAAAAAAAATTCCAGGATCACATACAGACTAAGATTTTGTAAAACTGCATGAGTGGAGCAAGCCATGAAATACTGCGGGAACTACAAATAAACTGCGGTGGAAGACCCAAGTAGCAGCAATTTTCTTAGAATTGCAGAAGGCTGTAGGCTGTTATTCCATTAGGTCTCTATCATTCCAAAGAGGAACTAAAGTTAGAGATGTATGCCAGCTGCTCTCCTGTCAAATTGTTTCTGTAAAAAGCTCTTGGTGGCTGCTTACTAGTGACCTCTGGGTCTCTGAACCAGAAGAGTACCAAGTGCTGTCCTGCTTTGAAAGACACTTAGCAACTTTACCATTAAGCATTTCTGACACAGCCCCAATATCTAAAGGATGTAAAGGGGGGCCTGCCCCTTAGCTCAGCTCTTTAAGTGGCTACTTCAACAAAGCAGTCAGGCTCAGGTTGCTGTGGTTCGATCCCCCCAACTTAAGCCACCCAAACCTGCCTTGAAGGCATTCGGAGCAAAAAAAAAAAAACAATCCTTATTCCATTTTGGGGCTGGGGAGATAGCTCAGTAGCATAAGCACTTGCCTGGCAAGCACAAGGACCTGAGTTCAATCCCCAGTTCAGCCAAAAAAAACCCCACAAAAAACCAAAACACAAATAAAGGACGTAAAGCCAGGTTCTGACCTGAAGAGCCCATTCTTTCATGGTGGCATCAGAGAAGCATTCCAACAAGGAGGGCAATGCCCAAAGAAGTTTATTTTGACAATGGACATGCTGCCTAGGGGACTGCTACTGGGATCCCAAGGGAAGAATTCACTGTATTTATGACCAAGTAAGTAGCCTTTCTTCCCTGACACCAACCATAGAGTGTCCCCAGGAAGACTTGCCTGCTTCACATGCCTGGCAATTGGCGTGGTTCACAAATGGTGGGTCCTGAATCAAGAGCAGGATGGAGAACAGTGGCCTGAATCATCATGGAAGCTCAGAGAAGATCTCAGCAGATAACTAGGAGAACAGAACTGAATACAGACTGAAACCCTCGCGGCGTACACATGGGTATATTATGATGCTTGGACCTTTGACAGGGACGTTGGTCTAGCAAATGTACAGTGGGAAACTGGACAAGAGAAGCGACCTCTCCTGCCCTGTACATGCAATCGCTGGGGGCATTCAGGGGTCAAATCACTGGCCACCGCAATGCTTCTCAAAAAGCCCTCTGCCAGGGTCTGAGGTAACTTGGGTCAATGAGTTGCTTCCCTAGTTCAACTCTAATACTTGAAATGCGTGGAGATGGGAAACCCAAGTCATGGAGCTGATTGAGTGATGAGCTAATGAGGACATGTCTTTGGACATGTCATCCCTTCTGATGCTTGCACTCAATAAAACTTGTGTAGCTGTCAAGAGAAACTCAGCTTCCGCAGGTCCCCAGGAGAGGTGTTCCCAGGGAAATGCCCATCAGACAGCTAACAGGGAGTTAGTGTCCCTTCTGGGGAGCCTTGAATATTTGCAAGCCACAATCTAGGTCTGGTTTCATGCTCAGTAGCTAAACCTACCACTGCTGATACTATCACAGGACTGCAGCAGCAACAGCAGGTGTGATGTAGAGTAATACACAGTGCTAGTTCAGCTCTCCCAGTTACTCTGCATCAGATGAAGACGCTTGCTGCACTCCAACAGCAATGGGCAAAAACCACCGTGTTCAGTAGGCTTATGCGGTTTCCTATCACCTTCAAAATAATGGGCTAATGGGAAATTAGAGGTGACAGCAGGGTGGTGGTCCCAGCCTGTAATCTCAGCACTCGGGAGGCTAAGGCAAGAAGATCATCCTGAGTTTCAGGCCAGCTTGAGCTACATGGTGAGTTCCAGACCAATCAGACCAGCTTGAGCTACACGGTGAGCTCCAGACCAATCTGGACTACAGAGGTAGACCCTGTCTCAAAAAATGAACAAACAAACAAACACATCCCTCCCCAAATCCCCTTTTAAAATGAAGGGCAACAAAGGATCAAAGGGTTTGTTTGTGAATTTATGGCATTGTGTCATTGTTATGGTTTGTGTAGCAACAAAAGAATGGTAACTGAGACAATCATGCAGCCCAACATGAGGGAGACTCCAGGCCGGTTGTCATGAGACAATTGGGCAAAATTAATAGTATAGAAGCTAATACAGTATTATGATTTGTGTCTAGGTGTCCCCCCAAAGCCTCATGCAATCACTGGGGTGGCTACTAGAGTTTGTGATTCATGATCCAATGCAGGGATTATGGGTGTGAGGGCTATACCCACCCTGGGGGATTAATCTGCACACAACATAAGGGAGAGAGGCTTGCTAGGGGCCGCAGCCACTGCTCCTCCCTTGTTCTTTGCTGCTTCCCACTGCCATGAACTGTTGCTCTCTGCCTTGTACCGCTCTGCCTTGGAGCCAGCTGAGTATGGACTGAAACCTCCACTAACTGTGAGCTGAATAAACCTTTCCTTCCTTAATTCTGGGTGTCAGGTATTTTGTCCCAGCAATGAGGGATAAGTAACCAAGACATACAGTAATACAAGTATTGCCAATCAAATGTGCTGGGATACTGTATTACGCTCTCCTCTGGATATTATCCCTGTAAGGCAGAATTGGTCTAAAGAATGTTTTGGCCTCAGCAATGGTAGGTTGCTTCTAGCTCTTAGTTACTCCACAGATACACATCCTAAAACAAAGACGGCTGCGGATCAGGTAGGCCAGAGAGCATAAGGTGTTTTTTTTTTTTTTTTTTTTTTTTTTTTTTTTTTTTGTTCCTTGAATGCCTTCAGGGCACTTTTGGCCAGCGGGAGAGTTGTGAGGTTCGAACTCCAGCAACCTGAGGCACACAGCTTTGTGGAAGCAGCCACTTAAAGGGCTGAGCTAGGGCCAGTCCCCCGCCAGAGAGTATAAAGTTAGTTTGAAAAGATCAGAAAGTATGTGCTGAAATTTTTGGATAGTTCTGATATTTGTTTAAATAAAAAAGTGGTTATTAAAAATGTATAGAATCTGTACATTTTTGGCTATTTGATTACGTGAAATTTTCAGAGAAATGGTCACCCTCCAACTATGAGTGATTGAAATACAAAATAGCCTTGATTCTGGATCAAGGGTGGAGACTGTAAGGGATTGTTGGAAGTACAAGTATCATCTGAGAAGGGGGGAACACACACACACACACACACACACACGCACGCACATACATGCACACACACACGGGTGGTGGTGGTGGTGCAAGTTTTTTTTTTTCAGAACCGGGGATTGAACTCAGGCCCTTGCACTTGCCAGGGAAGCGCTTATTCCACTGAGCCATCTCCCCGGCCCCTTGTGCAAGTATTATAAGGACGATAACTGGTATAAAAAGGCCCTGAAAGAGAAAAAGATTAGGATCAAAGGACCTGCTCACGTGGTTTTTCTCTTTCTGCAGCAGGGAGAGAGGTGTCCCTTTTAGAAGGTTTAAAAGTTTAGGCTGGGGACTGGTGAGATGGCTCAGTGGTCTAAAGCACCTACTTACAACAAGCTAAGCAAAAGCACAGCAACTGTGGTTTAATCCCCCAGCACCACATGGTAGCCAGCCCCGCCCCCTGGTGGGCTGAGCTGGCCACACACACACACACACACACACACATACACACACACAAAATAAATAAATAAATTTAAAAAAAAAGTTTAGGCTGATGATAAGTTGAAGAAAGGGAGGGGGAGAGGGAGAGGGAGAGAAAGAGAAAGAGGAAAGGGTACACAGATGTGTACAGCTATGCAGGAGACTGAAACAGAAGCTGAGGCACCTGACATCTGATGGTCTCTATTTTCTCAGTGAAAAGTGAAGGAACATGGCCAGCTAAGAAAACACAGTGAAGGTCTGGAACAGTCCCAGAGCTGAACCCAGATGGTAACAGAACTGCCGAGTGGGACTCAGACCCGGGAACATACACCCTAGATGGCACCAACCCGCACAGCTGTAGAGATGTGTCAAGCAGGAACTGGTCCCCGTGTAGAGCTACAGATGTTTCTGTGACAGACGAAAATACATCGAAAGAGTCGGAAAGGGAAGGGATGGGAGAGATAGCTTAGCGGCATAAGCGCCTGCCTGGTAAGCACCAGGTCCTGCGTTTGATACCTGGTACTGAAAAACAAAAGTGTTGTCGGGCTGGGGAGATAGCTCAGTAGGGGCTGGGGAGATAGCTCAGTAGGGGCTGGGCAGATAGCTCAGTAGGGGCTGGGCAGATAGCTCAGTAGGGACTGGGGAGATAGCTCAGTAGGGGCTG